ACCATACTTGAAGGCTACTTAGCATAGTAGTATTATGGCTTCACTACCAAGATGGATTATGTAAAGGTGCAATTTCCAATGACAAATGTCACTATACTGTATACCTTAAATGTACCAATAAAATTAATTTTTAAAAAATACATACTTAATATGCAAATAAACTGATTACAAAGAAAACCAAAATGACTTTCCCTTTACAATGTGACATTAAAGTGCTACCTGTGGACAATTTGTAAAGTAAAAAGTGTCATAAGTAATTTTTATTTTATAAAAATTGACATGATTAAAACCAACATGATTTTCTATCCATCCAATAACTGAGCTAATATAAAAACATGTAAAAATATTCTAGATTCATAAGTCAGATGCTAATAGCCATATAGTAGTATAAACTTGATGATTAAAAAAATAATTTTGTTTCCTTAAAAACAACTTGGTTCATTTACCATTTTAATATCAGTTATCTGCTATCCTGAAGTAGCAAAATAGCCATAAATAAAAACCTTGATGTCTATACTTTAGGTTTCTTGTTTGGTGGATCTTGAAGACTAAACTTTGGAATCTCACCAGAAGCAGCATATGGAATCCTCTTTGAAGATACCTTTTTGCCAATTGTTTCTATCTGAAGAGGAAAAAAAAATGAGAACTATTAATTACAACACATGAATGTAAGAACTATAGTGCAGTGGGCTGGGGATTTGGCTCAGTGGTTTTGCTGCCTGCCTCACAAGTGCAAGGGCCCGAGTTCGATCCCTGCTACCAAAAATAAAAATAAATAAATAAATAGAACTATAATGTACTGCAGCAATGGGGAAAAAAAGCCCCTCACATGTTGGGAGTAGAAAACCATATGTCCCTATGGTTCTCAGAACTGCATATGAATGCAATGAACAGAGCAGATTCCATTAGCTCACGTTTCCACTCTATTCTCATTCCATTTTCCTTACACTAAAACTTGTAGGCCACCTAACTACGGACCTCTGAAACTGTGAGCTAAAATAAACCTCTTCTCTTGGAAAAAAAGGAAAAGAAAAAGCCAGGTGCGGGGAGTGCACCTGTAATCCTAGCATGTGTCTGTTGGAATAACCTTGTAAAAATAACATTCCTGAGTTTGTCAATTGGGAGAGCTATGCTGGGTGGGACAGAGGGATCCTCAAGGCCCTCGACAGATGAGTGAACAGACGAGGTCATCATCTGGCTCCTGCTGCCATTCAACAACTCACAGATGAGAAATGGGCACAGAATTCTAAGTACAAGAGGACCTTCAATAAACTGGTGAAAAGGAAGATCTGGTGGGGCTGTTTTTTTTTTTGTATTGGAGATTAAACCCAGGGACCACTGAGCTACAATCCTAGCCTGTTTTTCAATATTTTAGGACAAGGTCTCAATAAGTTACCCAGGCTGGCCTCAAACTTGTGTCCTCCTGTCTAGGTACTCAAGGGAAGACCACAGGGCACCGGCTCAGCGAGGAATAGTAATGAACACAACAATGATGCTGTATGATAAGCACAGTGCATCTTGCAGAACACACTCTTTCCTACTTGACTGTCACAATATGGGTAAGGTAGGGCACATTCTGTCTCTTACGACAGCAAACTGATAACTGACACCCACCTCTGTGTGTCAGGTAAGGGAGACCACACTGAACTGTGCATCACAAACTTAGGAGGGAGTAGAATCGTTTAAAAATCACAGACACTTCCCAGAGAGCTGACCTCTTGTCTCAGAGTGACCTCATCACTGAGAATACGAGGATTTTGAAACCCACACAATGGCCTTGAAAAAAAAAACGACCCAAGAGAGAGTCCAGAATCCTGAGCACCTGGAAGCCGATGGTCTGCAGTTCACTGTGGAGCCCGTCCAGGACACGTCGCCCATCAAAGATAAAGGCTGGCTTGAGCATCTTTTTATGAATGCGTTCGTAGTCCAGCTCCTGTGAAGACACCGCGCGGTGATCAGAGCCCTAGCACACACTTCTGCTCACACGTGACACTTTCCAGCACCCTCCTCGGTCACACTTCTGTCGCCTTACCTTAAACATGTCCCACTCAGTGCAAATGACAACAGCATGGGCCCCATCGCATGCTTCATAGGGATCCTTGGAAATGGTCACAAGTCGATTCACTACACCAAGAGCAGCAACAAATGCCAGAAATGAGAAATGAGTTAGGAATGTTTATTGCTCCAACCCTCAGATAATCACTTTAAAGGTGAAGATATAATGTCTAATTTATAAAGTTTAAGTTTAGAGAACAGGCTGAATGAATAGAGAGCATACGGATGAGATACAGGATAAAATGTTACAACCAAAGATTTCTAGAAAACAAGTTTTGGGGTCTGTCAGCAAGATGACTATGAGACCCACACCTTACCTTGGTCATCCTGTGAAACCCCTGGATGGGAGAGATCCACAACAATTTGTTCCCTTGGTACTTTCGGGTCATATATATGGAGGTGTGCACCTTCATCCAGCAGGTATTTGCTGATGTAGATACTGGAGGATTCTCTGCAGGAAGACACATCAGTGTTGCTTTTGATGCCATTACACCTAATACATGGGGACTGAAGACGCAGGTAAGAGCCTATGAAGCAGAGGAGTGAGAATGCGGGTGTTTGTATTCTTTACACTGCAACAGAACACACACCCACAGCCAAGAGTCACGAGAACAAGAGGTCTGAAATACTTGAAAGAACTGATACCTCGTGTCGCCCGTGTCCTTTTTGAATGCGAAGCCCAGGATAGCTATCTTCTTATCAGTCACAGTGTTGAACAGGCTGTCTATGATCCGGGACGCAAACCTCCTCCTCTGGTAGTCATTCATGTCAATGACCTGAAATTCACACACATTGCACAACACCCATTAACAGAAATGTAACCTCTGACGCACATTATTCAGAGTTGAAATAAAAACGGAAAGAACACCCATCTCCATCCTTAAAGTCTCCTGGTAATTTTTATTTTCATTGCGTTCACCTGAGGTGGATGCACAGATGGGGTGCACAGCTAAGCTTTAACTCTGAGATCCAGTGCTAAAGTCAGCTAAGGCACAGGGGAAACAGCACTGTCTTTAGCCGACTTCTGCAGACCCTGGGGACAGAAGGTGGTTAGCACTCAGGTCAGCGTTCTGAATCTGCTTACATTGCCCATCACCAAATTCAGTGTGAGAAGAAAACGGGCGAGGGGAAGGAGCCACCAAAGAATGAAGAGGTGTTAGGTACATGCGCCAACTCCCCGCAATAAGCGTGAACACTGTGTACTGCACACGTGGGCTGATAAAACTTTAACAAGAAAACGGCCAGGTAACTGTCAAACATGACAAGTTACAGCTGCCTCTGGACAAACCGTAATGCCACAGATATTTACATATCTGACATGGTTTTTAACTAAGTAAGTCTCTGATCAAGAGCCTTAAATCTGTTATATTTAGGGTAGGGAATTTAGCTCAGTGGTTCGGCCTTGCAAGCCCAAGTTCCCCAGTTTGTTCCCCAGTACCAAAAAAAACCTCTTAAATTTAGGTTGGTGATAGGATGAATGAACAGGAAGAGACCATTTTTCAGGGTCTATACCAATTTCAACCTTGAGCCCCAAACCAAGACTTCATCTGCTGCATTTTGCACACAATGAATCATATGATAAAACCACCTGATGGATTGAGTGAAATAATACCGTGTTTCCCTAAAAGGTGAACTTTCTTTAGATTCCCTCCCATGTCTATTGCTGAAATCTGAAAAATTACACACAGGCAAAGTATTTGGGATGGACACATATACTTGCTACTACATCTGAAAATTACTTAAAATCTCTGTCAATTCCATTATCTAAAAATGGGGGAGGAGGTGCCAGACATGGTGCACATGTGTAATCCCAGCACCCGGGAGGCTGAAGAGGATTGCCACTAGTTCCAGGCCAGTCTGGGCTACGTGGTAAGTTCAAGGTCAACCTGAATGATACAGCAAGACTCTCATAAAAAAAATCCATACATACATATATAAATGGGATAATGTCAGTGATGACAGCGAAATGAGAAACTGTATCCAGTGCCCCAAAGAGTTAGTAGCACAGGGTAAGTATTCAAGGCATTCACTCAGTGCTTCCCATCTGAGAAATTTTACTTTGAGAATCTAAAAGGGACAAAACAAGTATCAACAGATGCGAATCACCTGAAAGTATTATAGTACAGGCTCTTCTGTGATTTTATACCTTTCAGGTAGAGAAGAATTATAAAGAATAGGGCTGAGGATTTAGCTCAGTGGTTCCGCTGCCTGCCTCGCAAGCGCAAGGACCCGAGTTCAATACCCGGTACCAAATAAAAAGATGAAGAAGAATATCAGCTCTTGATTTACTCTGGGAACAAATTTAGTTATAAAACTAGAAGAACTACTGGTTGATCAGAAATTTCCACTCCAGTTGATTAGCAAAAAGTCTAAAAGCAGATGACCAATAAACAAAGCTAAACAAAGCCAAAGTAAATTGACTGAGTTCCTGGAATGAATTCCTTCAAAAACACTTCACATAGCTGACATGATTTAATTATAATCTAATAAGCTGTTACTGACTATAAAGATTAATACCTGCTGCCAATAACGAGCTACTTCAGGCAAATTCAGAGCCTCACAGAGATAAACCAAATTCAAAACATCTTTCTGGAAGCAGCTCCCACCAAAACCTGGGGGGAGAAAAATGACATTTTTATATAAGAACCAGAAACCAAATCATATGACAAGTTTAACACATATATATCAGGGGCCTATACTATACTAAGATTTAAATAATAAAAGTTGGTGGGTTTACAAATTGTGTGAAATTTATAGCCGATTAATCAACTCTTTAAGTGATTTCCCAATTATGGTATATACTTTTTTAGTTTTACGGCTGTTTTTAGACAAGGTCTCACTATGTAGTTCAGGCTGGCCTCAAACTTGTGGTGATCCTGCCTCGGCCTCCTGAGTGCTGGGATTTTAGAAGTGTGCCACCACATCTAGCTGTTTGTTTTTTTTCTCATTCATTGGTATGAGTGCCCTACATCTCTTACTCCACCATAGGTTCAGCAAATTTTTATGGTAAAGGGCCAGAAAGTAAATATTTCAAATGTCTTTTAAAAAAAGACATAATAGCTGGGGATTTAAGCTCAGTGGTTCCACTGACTACTGTGCAAACCAAGTCTAGAGTTTGATTCCCTGTACCAAAAACAAAACAAACTGTGAGCCAAAAGAAAACTTTGAGCCAGGGATTTAGCTCAGTGGTGCCGCCACCTGCCTCACAAGCGCAAGGACCCGAGTTCAATGCCCAGTACCAAAAAAAAGGGGATATAACAGCATTTCTCTATCAGGTTAAAGAGAAAATGAGATAAAAAAGTGCTGGTATACAGCTTGGTGCATAATATGACTTCAGTAAATAGTAGCTCTTTTTATTAAATTATAACTTTCAGAAAACATCAAAAAGAGTAGGCTATAAAAGTACAGGGAATCCAATATTGGGAAATGACAAAGCTCTAGAAACACTAGCAAGTCTGCCTCTGGCCCAAACTACAAAATATTCTACTGAATATTATACCATTTTACTAACTTATATTCAAAACCACAGTTAGTTCTCATGATCTGTGGAAGCTACGCTCTCTAAGTCACCCCGAATACTCAATCCACAAATACTGAAGCACTGACCCCACGCAAAACATGGGTTAGATTCCTGCCGAGTTTCTGCTCACATTATGGTCAAGAGATGAACACACAACCTTGTTTTATATGTGCTTCTGCTTAAATACATTTCAGTTTGCATAATTACTGGTTTACTACAATCGAAGTCAGGGCCATCAGCTCTATAACTCACCCCCGAATGAAGTTCGGGCTAGACACATTTTCTCCCTGACAAAAGGACTGCTGTCTTCTCGCACTTAGGCCCAGAGGGAAGCACTTCAGCTCTCCACTTGGGGCCATTTTAAATGGAAAAGTCGGTACCCGAAAGCACGAAAACGTGAAAAACATGGCACTAAACAGATTACAGGGAGGGCCTTTGGTTACAGTACGAGAGCCGGAGCACCAGGGCGAGGCAATGCCTTGTTCAAACCTGGTGGGCTCAGCCGCATGCCTGGGACAGATTTTCCACCACTGTGCAGTAGAAGTAAGTGGCAAATCCACAAATACAGAATTGCTCCATAAGGAGGACCAACTACATTTCACCAATAAAACATTAGTAGGAAAGGCTGGGAATTTAGCTCAGTGGTTCTGCCACATGCCTTGCAAGCGCAAGGTCCCGAGTTTGATCCCTGGTACCAAAAAACACAAAAACAAAATACTAGTAGGAAAACAAATAATAGGAAGTTCATTCCCTATTTGCTTAAATAAGTTGTTAACTTGAATTATTTCCTACATGGTTTCCCAAAATATCGAACAATGTTTATGCCACTAATAGAGAAAGCATCATTTTCCTCCTCCGAAACTCTGAGCTACACTAATCTACTAATCAACCAGTCATCACTGAACAACAGAAGGGATCACCAGGCCCAGGGATGTAGCTCAGTGGCACCGCACTTGCCTGACAAGTGCAAGGTCCCCAGTTCAACTCCCGGAACCGAAAATTAAATGGGATTACTGCCTCACTTCGTACCTGCTAGAATGAAGGACACAGATGTAACAACCTTTTTTGTTGTTTTTGTTTTCTTACGAATAAGTTAAAAAAAAAACTTTAAAAGTTAGGGACCCAGCTAATGAAGCCACTTCATGGAGAGAGAACATCTATTTACCGACACTGGCTTTCAGGAACTTATTTCCAATTCTCTGGTCCATTCCAATGGCTGTTGCGACCTCTTCCACATCCGCTCCCGTTGCTTCACACAGGGCACTTATGGAGTTAATACTGCTAATTCTCTGGGCAAGAAAAGCATTTGCTGCCTTTTAAAAAAAGAGGAGGAGAAGCACAATGAGCTAACATAGCAATTTGGTCATTGCTTTTATATTTCAATATTGAGTTGACGCAAATTCCTGAGGAGTTATAATAAAAGATACTGGTGGAGATAATGGATGGTCTGATAAGCAAATGTATTTTAATCTGGGAAGATAGATGACTAAGAAAAGGTTAAAAGCAGAGAAACGGTGACAGAAAGGCTGGTGTGGCAGTATGTGCCTGTACTTCCAGTACCTGGGAGGATGAAGCAGAAGGATCACTGAGTTTGAGGCCAGCCAGGGCTACACAGTAAGTTCAAGGACAGCTTGAACAACATAGAGGGACCCTGTCTCAATAACAACAAATTTAAGAGAGAACTGAGACTACGGACTAACCAGTTTAGAAAGCTCTGAAGACCAAGTATTAGTGGTAAGGATCTTTTCTCTGGGCACCCAGTGCTCATACACAGCGCACAGGGCCTGCACAGCTTTCTGGCCCTCAGGCGTCTCATCCCCTCCAATCAGGACTCGGTCCGGGTTCTTCAGGTCCTTGATGGCTGTCCCCTCTGCCAAGAACTCAGGGTTGGACAGCACCTAGAATCCCAATGCAAGGAAAGTGTGAAGCCAGAATTAACTAAGGGAACTGAAGGTGTCAATATTTACATAAGAGCCAGACTATAATGCCTCAAAATTTCATACCTGCAAATTCAAGTTGGGTTTTGTGTTCGCATCAAATATACGACGAATACTTTCTGCTGCCCGCACTGGAACTGTGCTTTTCTCGGTCACGATTTTGTACCCATTTGAGTTCTGCACGATGCGTCTAGCACAGGCTTCGATATACTTCAGATCGGCGGCCCGGCCTTTGCCCATGCCATAGGTTTTGGTTGGCGTGTTCACCTGAGGAAAGAACAGCAGCCCCATGATGGGTTTGCAATTGCTTTTTGTTTGTTTGTTTTGAGACAGGGTCTCACTATGTAGTTGACACTGACCTGGAACTCACTATGTAGCCCAGGCTGGTCTTAAACTCACAGAGATCCTCCTGCCTCAGCCTCCTGAGTGCTGATCACTGTGTATGACACTGACCTGGAACTCACTATGTAGCCCAGGCTGGTCTTAAACTCACAGAGATCCTCCTGCCTCAGCCTCCTGAGTGCTGGGATTACAGGTGTGCACCCAGCGAGGAAAAATTAGTTTAATGTGTTTTTATTTTTGCATAAATCTGTTATTTTCCATGATGAAAAGTGTACAAAAAGAAAACAAAAAAATATGATCTAGAGAATAAAGGGAGTGAGAATGTAGACTCTGATGTACACAGTAATACATTCTCCTAACCAGCACTAAATAATAAGACAGACTTAGGACAGGTCAGGCTGAATCAGCAAGAAGCAAGTGTAAAATCAGCCATTTATGCCAGGCCACCCTAAGAAACTACTCTGTCACCTAGAACAGATTATTTTTAAATGTGCTTTTTACAGGACATTCTCACTGTAGGCTCTGGTCATCCAAGAGTTGGGTTAAAGTAGCCTCTTGATTTTCTCGAAAATCTAGTTACTCTAAAATACTTCCTCTCCTGTTGTTATACCTTTAGTCTTTCCATTCTGCTTAAAGGATGGGTGGGGTGTACCAATAAACTCAATGGGGGAAAAAAAAACTAAAAAAAAAGGATTAGTAGGTAAGTCATAGAAGCTACAGCAGGATCTCTGAAGTGACTACAGCCAGAAAAAGACTGAATTCATAACACAGCTCACTGCCAGTTTCTCTAACACCCTCTTCTAGAGTTCACTGTCCTCACAGTACTGCCTCAATCTCAGCAGCTGAAATAGCCTTTTACCCCACAGTTTGTAGCCCTTAGCGATCTATCTACGTGACCGGCCCACCAGCACCCGCCTCTCTGGAGCCCCTGGTGTTTCTTCACTTTATCCTGGGATCGTCAAATCTCACACCACTCCTGTTGCCTTTGTCTCTTTATTCTCCAAGGCCATGAAGGTCTTGAGTCATGAAACACCCCAGCTCAGCTGCCACCTGGTGAGAACCACGCTGTCACACAGAGTAACTGAGGAGGGGCAAAGGGAAGTGAGGCCCAGGTTGCCTTGGTTCAAATCCTGGATAACTAGAGATTAATCCCACAGTGATAGATCTATTTTTTTTTTCATTATAAGGTGATAGATAAACCGTATCACGAGTTGAAGGTGTCTGTGGGCTGGCCTGATAACCTACCCAATACATGCCAGGCACAAACAATTCATTAAAATTATCTTTTTAAAAAAATTTTTGAGGGGCCTGGGATTTAGCTCAATGGTTCCACCGCCTGTCTCCCGAGTTCAAGTACCCGAGTCCAATCCCTGGTACCAAAAAAAAACTTTGAGACAGGGTCTTAATATGTAGTTCAAGCTGGTCTTGAACTCACTATGTAGCCCAAATGACAAACTTGCAAGGATCTTCCCACCTCAGCTTCCTGAGTGCTGGGATTATAGGTTTACGCACCTTGAAAGGCTATGACTTTTGGAACACAATTCATTTAGCTAGGAGATGCCTATAAGTTCACAAAGCGGTTCTCTTCACCTCACCTCTGCCAACAGTGGAACAAGAAAGGACATACAGGGCCGGGGATTTAGCTTAGTGGTTCTGCTGCCTGCCTTGCAAACTCAAGGTCCCAAGTTCAATCCCCGCTACCCACCCCCCCCAAAAAAGGACAAACAGTAGTACCTCAATGCAGGAACTTAATTCTTCCTATAACTCTGGTCATAAACCAAACTGGATGAGAACTGAATCAAATAAGGTCAAAACTGAACCTAACCATTCACTGACTTTGATTTGGTTCTCGTCCAATTTAGTTGGTGACCAGAATCACAGAAAGAATTACTTCATGAACCGAGATGCCACTGTATACACTATCATACGTGCTCATGTGTTACCATTATTTCCTGCTACTAGATCTCAGGTTACAACTTGCTCTGAGTTTACTTGTTCAAGGAATTAAAATTATATGCCTGACCAAATGATTATAGGGTTTGCTCAACTGCTGGACAAATTACATCGGTCATCTCAAATTAAATTGGACATCTCTCTACTAAGCCATGTTGTAGTTTAATAGCAAGTTAAAGTACAACGAAAATTTTTATTTTAGTTTGAAAATGAAGTGAACTGAGCATTTATTTTACATACATTTGGATACTGTGAGTATATGTAAAACCTGAGACATAAAATTTTAATAGATTTTTGACATGAAAATAAATATTGAAAAATTTGATCATGAGTTAATATCTACATATACAAGTTTTTTGTATTTTTCAACTCTTATGTTTTGGAAATAATTAAGCATTGGAAAAGAAAACTTTTAAACAGATTAAGAATACACTAGAAATAGCCAGGCGTGGGGGCGCATGCCTGTAATCCCAGCATTCAGGAGGCTGAGGCAGGAGGATCACTGTAAATTCGAGACCAGCCTGGGCTACATAGTGAGTCCCAGGTCATTCTCAACTACATAGTGACACCCTGTCTCAAAAACAAAACAAAACAAAAAAAAAACACTAAAATTCACACAGCAAATGAAATTACTTACAGAAATAAATACCAGATCAGCTTCTTTGATGGCATCGTCGATGTTGGTAGAAAAAAATAGATTCTTTCCTCGACAAGATTCTACTACTTCTTTTAGTCCCCGCTAGAAATTAAAAAAAAAAAAATTATATTTGTTAAAAGGCAAGGTTATGTTGTAATTTAAAGATGTAGATGTACTCTTGTTTGTTTTGTTTTGTGTTTTAATACAGGTGGATCAAACTTAGGACCTTGCGCTTGCAAGGCAGGCACAGAGCCACTGAGCTACATCCCCAGCCCTTCGATTTGCTCTTAAGTAGCACCTTTAAAGAAAAGACAAGGTTCACACACAGAACACCTCAAGTGCATATTATATGTCATCATGAAAGCAAACGACCTTGCACAACCAGCAGCAGCCCTAAAACATTCGTTAATGTTTACCGTGTCCCTGACTGTTTTGTAAGAGTTAGCTATTAACTCTTATTAACTCACTTCAAGAAGCTCAAGTCCCTCTGTGATTTCAGGTGAACAGATTTTGCACTGTCATTATGAATGCACATTTTTACTCACAATAATTCAGGCTACACACTGGCTGTGAAAGTCAGTACTTTATCTATACACACATATAGAAGTCTTACTGTAAGAAACCCTTGTTAAAAACTTTTATTACCTTTTGCCATAAGATTTAACAGGAGATATATTAAGAAAACTGAAGCCAGATACCCAGCTGCTCGAGAAGCTGAGGCAAGAGGTTCACTTGAGCTCAGGAGTTCTGGATAACCTAGGTAACACAGCAAAAATCCATGTCCAAATCAAACCAAACCCACATCTTTTTTTTTTTTTTCCTTCCTCTTTTTTGAGGCTGGGTTTCATATGTAGCTCAAGCTGTTTGTTTTGTTTTCTTTTCTTTTGTCAAGCTAGTCTCAAACTTGCTATGTACCCCCGGGTGACCTGAAAATCACAGCAATCCTCCTGCCTTAGCCTCTCAAATTTTGCAGGTGTGCTGCACCTTGCCCAGCTAAACCAAAACAACAAACAACAAAAAAGAATTCTTAGGCTGACAATGCCACTTAACAAATATTCTTTTTTAAAAAAATTAACATTAAATCTGATCAGATCTGTCCTCTAGATGTAACAACCAATTTATATGAAATAAACGATACAGAAAAATGAGATATAAAACCCCAAGGGGACTGAAGACTCAATCAGTAAAATCTAGACTGAAAATTTCTATAAGATTCTTCAACTAAAAAACTGGACAGGGGACCGGGGATTTAGCTCAGCGGTTCCGTGGCCTGCCTTCCAAGCGCAAGAGGACCTGAGTTCAATCCCCGGTACCAAAAAAAAAAAAACTGGACAGGGATTAACATATTGTGTGTTTGAAAGATTCAGAGTGAGCTGTGTGTGGTGGCACACACTTGAAATCCCAGCACTCGGGACAGCCTCGAGTTCAAGTCCAGCCTGGACTACATAGCAAGACCGTGTCTCAGAAAGATAAATGGATGGGTAGATGGGTGGATGGATAAGATTTGGGGTGGGGGTACTGGGGATTGAATCCCCAGCCATCACACTAGGCTGTATCTCTAGTCCTTTTTACTTTTTTTTTTTTTTCTTTTTACTCTTATTTTGAGACAAACTCTCTCGCTAAATTTCCCAGGCTGGGCTCAAGCTTTTGATCCTCTTGCCCCAGCCTCCAAGAGTGCTGGAATTACAAGTCTGTGCCTACATGCCTGGCATACATAAATTCACAGAAATTTTGAATTTGTAATTAAACAAATTAATGGTACTAAACTACGAACTATGCCATTTGTCCATCTAAATTCTTCCTTACCTAAGTAAAATAATCTTAAATTTTATTACATATGACATTATAAAGAAAAAAATTATTTTTAAAGAATAGTACCTTTTCTTTTCTCCCTCTTTTTTTTTTTTTGGGTACCAGGAATCGACCTTGCACTTGCTAGGCAGGTGAGGCGACACTGAGCTACATCCTTGGCACTAGAACTATTACATTAATCATACTAGCAGACAAAATTGGAAAATAGAGAAGAGGGAAAAAAAATTACCCAAAATCTCACTGCAATCAATATAACCATTATTAATATTCTTATATACTTCTTTCTAATCATGTTTTCTGGTATACATGATATAATTGTAATTCTTATGTCCACTTTTTTGGGGGGAGTGCTTTTTGTTGTTTTGTTCTATTTCATTTTGAGACAGGGTCTTGCTATGCATACTAGGCTGACCTTGAACTCATGTCATACCCAGGCTGGCCTTGAATTTATGGTGATTCTCCTTCCTCAGCTTCCCAAATGCTGGTATTACAGATGTGTACTATCATGCCTGGGTGTTCTTTCTTTTTTCTTTTATTTGTTTCCTTTTCTTTCTTTGTAGGGCTTGAGATGGAACCCAGAGTTTCACACATTAAACAAGTTCTCTGCCACTGAGCTATACACCCAACTGAAACGTCCATAACATTTTGTATCCAGAATTGTATTTTGTTTTGTTTTGTCTTTGTTACTGGGGGTCGAACTCAAGACCTTGTGCTTTCAAAGCAGGCGGAGGAACCACTGAGCTAAATCCCCAGCCCCTGTATCCAGATTTTTTTCATGGAATCTCTTAACTGGATCCACACATTTTGACACAATTAGTACATATAGTTCACTAAACAAAAACAGTAAGAAAACAAAGTGCTGGGGACTTCAGGGAAGAGTACTAAACAGCAGAGCAACAGGCTCTCCAAGATTTGGTGTCCAGACGCTGGAATATAGCAACATAAGGAAGACAAGGAAGGAACAAGGAACTGAAGCAGGACTTGAAGCCCATGAGGAGAGCAAAGAGAGAGACCTCAACACAAAAGGAGGTGGTAACTGGTGCTTTCTCCCTGAGCCCTGACTTACTGGCAGGAGCAGCTCAAACCTGCTGATGCACAGTGACGACTGGCATCCCTAGAGGCTCCACAGAGAAACGCATCAGTGGAATGGAACAGTGTAGGCAGCAGACTGCAGCGGCTGGTGGTGACTTTCTCAGGTTCAGTCTTCCCCTAGGAGAGGGTGACTGGCCGGTAGCCTGGAGAGGGGTCAACTGAGCTCAGAACTCAGAGCAGCTTCAGGCTGGCTCCATCTAGTGGCTCCCAGTGTCAGGGTGAGGCAGAACTGAATTCAAACTGGAAGATCAAGGAGCCAAGTTCAAACTAGCAGGAGGCACATGGGAGTGTTGCAGGCTGAACAAATCAGGTTCCAGCCTCACAGCCAGAAACCACCCTGAACTAAAGTAGAACTAAAGGTACAGGATGACCGCGATTATCTACTACCCTGCCTGCCACAAATATGCAACTGGCTTGCTAGGGTTGGTTAATCAACACCGATCTGGGCTCTATTTGCCCACTCAGTCTACCAGTGACACCAAACACACCTGAAGTAGATATTTTTTTCTTCTTTTGTTCTTTTTTTTTTTCCTGGCCTGTTCTTGTATCTATATTACTGTAAACATTGTTTCTAGTTTTGTTCTGTTCTTGTTTTTAATTCTTCCTTCTCTCTTCCCCCTTCTCTTTAGCACTTTCCCAAAGTTCCCATAATCTTCCTTTGTTTTCCAGCCTTGCTTCTAATCTCTTTCTCTTCTTCTATTTCTCTACTTTTTCCCTCCGGTACCCTTTTAAATTTTCTCCCCAAGGGCCTATTTACTGTATACAATTTCCTGGTTTGTTTTAGGATTTGTTATATAACTACAAATATAGTTCATACAGTTAAAGGTGGTAAATTAATAGTTTCCACAGTTTGTCATTTTCTAGGCCACGTTTGATGCTATAGTTATTGCTGATTTTACTAGTTCAGCCAAGCTGACATAATTGTTCTTCTTAGTTATTCTTCCTGGTACACCAAGACTGACATTGCCTAAGGGTCATAAAAAATACTATAGACCAGTGTCAGAGAACCAGGGGCTATGCCCAATAGGCAGCAACTTCTCATCTCCAATTAATTAAGGAGATACAATCTTACAACAGATTCAAACCCAAAAGCAAACTACACTTGAAAGGCATCTCTGAGAAATACTCACTTCCTAAGGGTTCTAAATACGATCAATAAAGCTACCTGCCATAAGCAATTAATATGTAACAAAGTAGACAAAGACTTTATGAACAAAACTTCAGTCACAAAGGTACTATCACAAACAATCAACTGGATCTCATCTTATTAAAAAGCTTTTGCATGGCAAAAGAAACTATCAACAGAGTGAACAGACAACCCACAGTATGGGAAAAATTTTTACCAGCTGCTCCTCCTCAGACAAAGGACTAATATCTAGAATAAAAAACTTCAAAAGCTCAGACCCCTAAATTTAAAGACCCAATCCAGAAATGGGTACCTGAAATGAATATACACTTCTCAGAGGAAGAAGTAGAAACACCACATAAATATATAAAAAAAATGTTCAGTGGGGCCGGGGATGTAGCTCCATTGGCACAGTGTCTGCCTGGCAAGGGTGTGGCCCTGAGTTTGATTACTGGTACCAAAAAAAAAGTTCAACATCACTGGTTATTCAAGAGATGCAAATTAAAACAATGCTGAGATTCCATCTCACTACAGAAAGAATGGCTGCTATCAAGAAATCATCCGCTGCTCTGGACCCAGCCACCATCGCTCAAGCATGGGAGGTAGCCTGGGCCCCGATCCACCACGGGAAGGAGAGCCACGCCTGCTCCTGACCCAGCCGCCATCACTCAAGCTCCAGGAGATAGCCTGGGCCCCGATCCACAGCAGGAAGGAGAGCCACGCCTGCTCCCGACCCAGCCGCCATCACTCAAGCATGGGAGGTAGCCGTGTGGGCGCCCCTGAACCCCCATAAGCGCCCCCCCCACTCTCAGACCTCCTGACTGTGCCAGTCTGTGGACCCACTCTGCAGAGGCAGAGGTGGTTATCAAGGGTATTTTTCTGAGTTCCCAACTTTGAACATCTTTAAAGAAAGGGCATGGGAAACCTGTAATAGAACGTTGTGGAGCTCAACCATTCAGAAGGTTGGGGAACTCAATCTGGGCCTTGCAGCCCAAGGTCAGTCTGCATCATGGGGTTCAGCCATCAGCTAACTGAGGTCAGGGGTCTTGCATCCTTGCTCTGTCTGAGCCATTAAATGGTAAATACACTATAATTTTGAAATTTTGTTCACTGCAGACATGTTCTGGACAGCTTCTTGATTTCAACTTAATTCAAATGATTTAAGGGTGATAGACTAGTGACTACCACAGGTGGTCAGTGTCCAAGTTGTGCTTGATCTTAACGTGTTGCTGATTGTATCAGTTGGGATAAAGCATTGCGGATGATTTGATGAGCCGTTTTCTCTGATGTTATGAAGATGAGACAGTCTGTGGGTCGTTAGAGACACAGAAGCTAGGGCGCAACTATATCAGGAAGATTTGGGTGATAATCCAGAGATTAAACCAAGGACAGTCCAACAACAAAAATTAAAATGAGAAAACACTTAAGCAAGACACAAGGACAGACTTCCAGTTCACCAATGGCAAACAGTAGGGCAAATGAGGATGAAAAGGCCGATAGTGAACCACCAGGACACCCTGAACTCAAAGCTCAGGAAGTAACAAAGCAGATCAATCAGGCTCTAGAAAAATTCAAAACAGAAATAATTTCCCAGATAACCATAGAGAGAGTGAGAAAAATGGAAGTTGTGATTCGAGACTCTAGAGCAGAAACTGACAAAAAAAATAGATGAGCTCAGGACCATGATAGAATCCATGAAGGCCCAGCATAAGAAAGAAATGGAAAAAATAAACGCCCAACATAGGAAAGAAATGGAATCCATAAAACAGATTCAAACAGATATCCAGGAGATTAAATACTCCAGGCCCAGTGTACGCAACAGAATAAAAGAATGCAAAGATAGACTCTCCCATATAGAAGATAAGATTGCAGTCAGTGACCATGAAAAGAGAGATCACTTAAAAACGGTAAGGGATCATGAGAAATCGATCCAACAACTCCTAGATGATGCAAAGAAGAATAACATAAGACTGATAGGAATCCATGAAGTAGCAGGAGAAAATACAAATGACTTTAAAAAGCTGTTCGCAGAATTAATGACAGAAAACTTCCCAAACAGAGGGGAAGAATTTGACATTCAGATAACTGAGGCATATAGGACCCCAACTAGCTACAATCAAAAAAAATCTACACCTAGACATATAATAATCAAGATCCCAGAAACCCAACAGAAGAACAAAATACTACAAGCAGTAAGAGAAAAGAAACAAATCACATGCAAAGGAAAGCCCATCAGAATCACAGCAGACTTTTCAACACAAACCCTTGGGGCAAGGAGAGCCTGGAATGAGATATTTCAAGTACTAAAAGAGAACAACCTCCAACCTAGACTGATGTATCCAGCAAAACTCTCTTTCAAAATGGATGGGGAAGTAAGACACTTCCACAACAAAGAACACCTGAGAAACTACATGAATACCAATCCAGCATTACAAGCAATTCTAAACAAGATCCTAGAAAAAGACAATGAAGGCAACAACACCATGAGGCCCAACAGAGCAAATCAAATAGGCAAGGCAAGAAATTAAAAGGAGAAGGTGAAAAAGTAAAAAGAGTCAACAAAAGGCCAATAACATGTCAATAATAAGTCAGTACATATCAGTTATAACCAGCAATGTCAATGGCCTCAATTCACCAATCAAGAGAAATAGACTGGCAAATTGGAATAAGAAGCAAAATCCAACAATATGTTGTATACAAGAAACACACCTAGTGCAAAAAGAAGCCCATAGACTGAAAGTGAAAAGATAGAAAACAATTCTCCATGTGACAGGAGCCCAGGAAAAAAAAAAACAGGGGTAGCAATTTTATTTGCAGACAAAGTAAATTTCAAACCAAAACTGTTACTAGTATTATTGATGTAGGACGGTACTGTATCATACCTCTATGGATGTAAAATATCTTGTACCTGTTTTATGATACATACTAGGGACCGTGCTTTATCAGAGCTACATTTAATGATATTACTCTAGAATGTTCTCTTTTCAGATGATGATTAAGATGCTAATAAAAAAAATGGTGCCAGGTACCACAACAGCAACAGAACTTCTCTGTTTTCTGGATATTATTCTTTTTTTTGTTTTGTTTTGTTTTGTTTTGTTTTAATAGAATGTGCTGAATGTCTATAATTTTGTTCAGATGACTGCAGTACCTGGAAAAGCTGTTGCTGCTATTGATGCATAACATACTATTATTAGTCTTT